TTGGTCCTTAAAGGAGCATCTAAGATGCTTTATAATTAAAATGTGACTAAAATTAACAGCAGAGTAAAACAGGCTGTGGCTTGTAAATAAATATTTCAAACTAAAGTGAAAGCTAGTCAAAATAAAAAGCTCTTGGGTGACTAAAACTGGCCTGTAGCGTAGGACCCTTTGTTCCAAAACATAAGGTCCTGAATGTTCTCACACTTCAATTCCTGGAAGTGGTGATCAAAAACTGTGCTGGCTAGAGCTCATGGAAGTTGTAGTAGATGTTCTTGGGCTGCAATTCCCAGCAGCCCTAGACAGCATAGGCAACGACCAAGGCTTCTGGGAATTGTAATCTAGAAACATGTAGGAGCTTAAATCTGGGAACTACAGGCTTAAGAGGGGAGAAATCAGTGGAACCTTCCTAGGGATGGAATTTTCATAACCCAGAAGCTCCAGCAGAAAAGACCTCTCTTTAAAGGAGGAAGCATAGCTCAGATTCACAAGGCCTCAAGTTTAATCCCCACCATCTAACTGGGAAACAATCAAGCCTGGAGCCTTGGTGAGCAGCTGCCATTCAGTGTCAGTCAGTACTAGAGTAGCTTGACCAGTGCTCTGACTTCCCAAGCTTCCATCTGCAGCTTGTTACATTCTTGTGCATCCCAGGCGATAGAACCTCCGCAGGAAATGCACAAGAAAATATTCTGATTTGGTGGGTATGTCTGGAATGAATGAGGCAATCTGTCCAGTACCCTGGTCTCAAACATTATATTAGTCCAAGAGACACTTTGCTGCCTCAGATAAGGGACAAGATAGCATGTTTTCTATTCCACTGTACAAATACCTTTTTTGGTTATCAGTTGAATTTGAGGTCTGCCCACCACAGCTGAGGACAACAGGGTGGTTTTGTAGGGTAAAGGCAGGGAACAGTAGGAAAGATTGCAGGACTGCCTACTCCTAAAGACCTTCTCGCACAAAGGAGTAATGCAGTCTCAAAAAAAAGCCCAAACACTTGTGCAGCTGAGTGTTTCACCTTGAATAGTGCCCACAAATCAACTAATGTCCAACACAGATGAAAGGAGGAATCAGAGTAATATACAGTACCAAAAAAGCAGGCTCAAAATGTTCCTGTGATGGCTACACTTGAGTCTTGCTCCTGTTATATTTTATGGTATGATAGTAATTTTGGTTTGCAGTTTGTGAATTTCAGTATACAGTATACGGTGTCAAGGCCACTGGAGGAGTGCCCCTAGGTGACCACTATGGAGGGGCACTATTTCAAATCACAGAAAGATGAGGGAAATGCACCATCAAATTGACAGCATGAAGAATTTAGGCCCGTTGTGTGTTGTTCTTGTGAGCAGCATCCAACCAGCAGGTGGCACACTACCAGGTTTACCTTAAAAGGACTGCTGTATGTTGTGGAACACATCTTTCATCAGAAGTAATAATGCTCTCTGCTTCAGGGAAATTGAAAGGGAGGCCGTGAATGTTCCAGGCAGCTGTTGTCTAGACACATACAGCATGAGGCATTTCTTCACTACAGAATGGATTTCTACCACTGGAGTGCTCATTAACATCTTTAAACAAAGAGCAAACAGTTATAATCGTATGAAAACATTTTAGAATGCATGGTTGAAAACACAGCCTCCATTATCTTTCATTGTGGCTGGTATGGTGAATTCACTAACACTGATTGTGTGGAGTTTTCCCCACCCCATCTTTATATTTTTAAGCACAAATTGAAAAAAAAGTGCATTTATGGCCTACAGCTCCCTGAAAGTTGCCAGCCACTCTGGAAGCTGTGATTGTTTTCTTTTTTAAAGGACATTTTCCAACGTCAGTTTTAAACTAGTCGTTTGTGAGCAGTGAACCATGCCCTCAGCTCAAATGAATGATTGCTGTTATCTCCTCTTTATATCTCATTATTTGCATACACGGATTAGACTATTTCATTGTCATTTCTCTCCAAATGCCCATTATTCATTCTGCAGTTGCAACAGAGACTCCTATGCACTTTGAAATTTAGCAAGAGACATGTGCCGAAATCTGGGATAGAAAAGTTTTGGACATTTCAAGCCATGACAATGTAATTTAATTGCAAGTGTTAAAGGAACATCTTAGCGGCCTAAGTGATGTTCCAAAGAATGTGTGAATATTTATGTATCCCTTCAGGGAAACAATATGCACAGCATACCACTCCATATTTGTAAATGTTTATCATTTCTACAAGGACCAAAAAGGCTATGGCAGGGATGCTTTGGTATTTTCCAAATCATTGCACAGTACTTTAAACAGTGAAGATGAATGGCCCCATGGCTATGCCAAGGATGACTTGCTGATGGTTGTCTTGAAGGCAATTGTGTTGTTTACAGTCTCTTAAAATGACAGGTCCAAGTGAGAATCATTTAAGGAAAATGTGGCCCCTCCCATATGTGTATGTCTTGTTGCACAGTATTTTTTTTAAAGGGGAGTAGCCAGGAATTGTTATTTGCAACCGAAATCAAAACAATCACTAAAGAAGCCTGGGAAAGTGACATAAAGAATATTGTCTAGTCTTTGAATTGGTATATTGGCACTCTTCTGCATGCCCTGTGACACTAAAAGCACAGCTAATAACATTCTTGAAGACTACCAGATAGTACATTTTTGTTGGTATTGTGATAGTTGATCAGTTTACCTAGTCTTTGTTAATAATACAAGAAATAAGTTTTTTGCTGAAATGGCTGGACAGGGTAATTTTTCATTTCTGTCTTTTCCAGACATTTTAGTTTGATTTTTCTCCTCTCGATAAATGTTCTTTTGTATTTACTGATGTGGTGCAATAGACAGAGTATCAGATTCAGGGTTCAAATCCCTGCTTGGCCATGAAAACTCATTGGTGGTTACAGTGGCAAACCACTACTTGATCATCTCACATACCTCAAAAGCACTGTAAGGTTCACCATAAACTAGAAGCAACTCGACAGCTACAAAGCTTTTTGTAGCTCCACATTTACCTAAATGGACTTGACCTTACCTTGTCTGTATTGTTTTTGTGTTTATAAGCTTTATGAGAGCATTTTAACCCCTCTTTTAAAAAGCACTGTAATATTGGATATCTCTTTTTAATCTATGGATTTACACAATCCCAAGAATTCTATCCATATTTTCATTTCTGGGCACCTCTGAGCTCAATACGTATCTTTATTTGCTGGTCTATTGGCTAATATAATCTGGTTCTTTAAGATGTATTTGGTTAACACCACTGTTCATTTCAGGATAGTCTTTTATTTTATAGTCGATGTGAATTATAGAAGAATGTAGAGACTGTATGTTAGTCCTGGAACTCATAAAATATAAGCAATTCATCATCATGTTTGTACTTGCAGGGATTAGCTGCCACTTCCAACAATGTGAGTTTCTATTTATGGCCTCTAGTGACTTGAGTCATAGATATCCCAGACTTCTTTTTTCTAGCTATGCAATTTGAGATAATCCAAGGAATGCAAACTTGTTTTAATTCCTGGAACAGTTATGTTTAGACTACAAAGCATAAGGGATACGATTTACACCTGAATATAAATATGAGGACTCCTTTTTCCTGTCCTTTAAATGGATCCTTTCATATTGCTGGTTAGGCTGTTAATGAAGAAGACCTTACTGAACTAGTTCGTCATTGCAATGATGCATTGTTTCTTTCAAATATTGGCATAAATATACATGTACAATATTGTTCAAGTAAGAGGAATCCCTCAGTTTTATAAGAGACATTATGAAGGCACTCCAGTTTCCCAACTCTTAGGGCTAAATCCAGTGTTATTGGATTGATTAATTAATTAGGACTTTTCAGTCATAATTAATGTACATCCCATTGATTTCAATGTGATTAGTTTGGGAAAAATATTGGATTTAGCCTTTGGAATCTTATCAGTCTTCATTCCTTAAATTCAATGTGTGGGCATCCCCAATTCCTTTTTTTTAAAAAAACTCTCCAGTGAGACAGTTTAAACTAGCCTACTTCAGGTCTAATTTAGAAGGAGAATGATATGGGTGGCCTCCCCCTTCCTCAGCTAGACTTTGGCCTGGTGGCAGCTGGGTTTTCTATGAGTCAAGAGTTGGGGTTTTAAAGCTATTTTTAATGCAGCCAAGTATGACTCACATAGCATGTGAGGGGACAGGAGGTGTCACATTTGGAAGAAGAGGTTTCTTATCATCTCAAGACATTTCTCTGGAATTTTGCATTAACAGAATAAGTAACTAAAGTGTGCTATATACTGGCGACAAAATGATACAGCAAAATAAAAGAAAATACCTTTTCTATAGTTTTGGATTACAGGTGGGCACTACCATTTCATAATATTTTGCATTTATAAACCCCTATGTTAGTTACATAAACACACACATGAGGGACAAAGGACATACAAATGTTCTCCGTAATGTGTGGAGTTTTCTTCACTAGGCAGACCTTAAGAATGTGACCTCCCCTCTTTTAATCTGGAGTGGTTCTGCCCATGCTGGCACCACAGAAATTTGCTGGCTTCTTCTGGTGCATTGTGTTGATTAGTCCTCAGAAGAAGTTCCTTCAGACAACACCTTTATTGTGTAATTGCCTTGTCTCATTCATGGAATTTTACTTTAAAGCCCAGATGCCGCTATTTTCCATTCGTTTACTTTCCTGTTTTCCCACTACATCTTCCACCATGTTTAAAATTAATGTGATATGAGACTAATTTTACTATAGGCAGGCCATGTTCATAAACTGGACTGTTTTCCAACAGAGGAGAACATCCAGAGGTATGGAAATAACAATGGTGATGTTGCTCTCACCCATCTGCTGCCTTAGATGGTCCTCTCATTGTGCCGAATGGCAAGAACAACCCTGATAAAAATAAAAGCAAACCAGGCATTCACTTGCTTATTATGGAGAAAAACATTGGCGTGGAGATTTTAACACTTCTGTAAATACTAGCCCCAAAATGTACTTGTCTCAAAATTAGCTAAATAAGATGTTTTTCCCCCTGTTTAATTTATTTTAGATTCGGAATAAAAGCAAAGCGTCGAAAGCTGGGCTCTGTGAAGGAGATGAGGTGATATCTATCAATGGCACCCCTTGTGCAGACTTGTCCTATGCCGAAGTTATCGCCCTGATGGAAGGCCTGTCTGACACTCTCCAAATGCTTATTAAAAGGTAAATTTAGATGTATTATGTGTTCTGAGAAAATCATATAACCAGCTTCATGATTACATCTACATTCCTGATTTTGGATGGATGTTTTGCTTTTTGATGCCATTTTGTTTGTTTGATAAATTCCATTGAAACCAATTTTTAGAATGTCATCCTTATAGAGCGGCTCCCAAAGCATGGCATTGCCTTTAGTAAAAACAAGCAGCAGTGCAAAATGGAGTTATAAAACAGGACAGTTTTTAAATAACTACTTTAAGTGGTTTATTGGTTTTTAAACTACATATGAAGGGGGGGGAGGTCTTTATAAACAGGCATTTTTGAAGCAGTATATACTTCAGTGTGGTGAAGTATATACTGTATATACTACAAGTCTGTAACTTGAGGCAAAAAGGCCATGTCTCTCCTGTCCACCAGCCAAGTAGATATTATGGTTTGGGGCCAGCAAGCAGGCTGCCTGAAGTAAATTTGAATGTCTTGGTAGGTTCATTTGGGTATAGGTGGTGGTGGCGGCCCTCCAAATAAACTCACTCTAAATTGTTTAAGGTTATATTCAAACAAATACTTTGAATTAGAGAGCAGGCCGGGTAGGTGGGGCTCGTCAGCCATGGAAGGCAGCCCATCTAGGAGAAGGAAAACTCTGATTTCAACCCGCCACTGCCCTGTGGCTATATCCACGCATGGAAACGGTTCAGGAGTTAACCTCGAGGCAAAATCCGGAGCTGGAGTCCCGAAGGCAGTTTGTGTCGTTCTGCCAACTCCTGCAAATGTTGCTGGAACCAGGTGCATTGGCTCGTGCCTTTCCATTGGACCATTTCAGCAACGTGGAGAGGGGGGACCTGCTGCTTGGGTAACAGCCTATCCTCCATATTACCTTACCCAGGCTTCATGCTCTGGAGAGGACACTCCTCGATACAGAGCATGTTACCATGGTCTCTTGAGACTGAAGGATGCCTCTGCTACTTTGAATTGGAGTCAAAAATGAACTGTCATTTGGTTTCTCCAGGACAGAAATATATTGTGTTAGTCTGTGGCAGCAGAACCAAGGAATCTAGATTAGAGATGAGGACTTCACCATTTTGGTGAATCATCCTGCTTCGTGAGTTGTCAAAAGTTGATGACTCACGAAGCATGAAGTAGCCCCCATGAAATGACGAATAAAAAATTTATTCCTCGACTCATGAAGGTTACTTTAAAAAAAGGCCTGCTAACCCTTAAGTCAGGCTAAGGGAATCCGGGCTGCCCTTTGCAAAGATGGCAGCTGCAGCTTCCCTACCCTAAATGAACCTGCAGCCCCCATCTTTGTAAAGGGCAGCCAGTTTCCCTTTCTACAGCTGCAGAGGCCTGATGGAGAACTGGTGGATGCCTATCGGCCCACCAGTCAGCTGATTGGCGGGCTGGTAGGCAGAATGGAAAAGCCGTAGGATGGCTTTTTTTCCTCCTTCATATGGGGATGAATAAAAATGGTGATATATTCATCAAACCATATTCGTTGGGACTTAAAATTTGATGAATATGGATCAACAAATATATGACGAATTGGCTATTTTCGTTGAAAAAAACAATCTGTTTTTATATCCGTCCCCATCTGTAGTCTAGATTGTTGCTTCCCAGTGTCCCCATGTGCTGACCTTCTGTGGCACTGGAGAGAGAAGAGGCATTGTGAGCATGATTCTGATTGGCAGGGACCATGAAACTTGCTGGAAAGATTCAGTGACCCTTGCTAGATAATCAGAGGTTATGTTGACTTGGAGGAGACAGGCTCAGGACACCTTCGGCTGGCTTCTAAACAGATCTTTTCCTGAATTCTCATAAGCTTTTTTTTGCCTCACCTTCCCTACTTTGCTGTAGACTCTGTTTACATATGGAGCGTTGATCTTTAGACCCCTTTAATAACTGGCAGCTGGGAAGGAATATTACTCATAGGGCACAATTGGCAGAGCCGTGGGGCTTTCACCTTCCTCACAGCATTAGTTTTTTTTTGGGGGGGACGTTTAACCCAATGTTAATGTGTGTGATATGAACCTGTTACAACTTTGATGGGGACATTAGAGACATTGGGTAGGATTAATTTTATGGGGGAGCTCAGCCGGCTTGCCGGCTCCCTCATTGGGGGTTCCCATAAGGGACTTTGATGAGTCAATTATTTATTTATTT